CGGGGCCTGGGCGGGGTCGGCGCGGAGGGAAGCGGAAACTGCTCCAGGCCGGAGCGCGAAGTAGAGGGGCGCCTGCGCACTCGTCAGCTCGCTGGGACGGTGCCCACCCACCTTTTCCGGGGACTTGCTGGGGGAGATAGCAGTAGCGCTATCCACGACAGAGGGATTGCAACAGGTTGGACGCGGAGGACCAACCTGCAATTCCGACTTTGAGCTTCCCCTCACCAACTCCGGCGCCTCCCTAGCGACGCTCCCCGGCGCAAAGCCCGCCCACTGCACACGCGGAGCCACCACTTCCGCCCTCACTTCCCTCAGAGCAAGATGGCAGAGGACCCGGAGTCTTCTCTGCAGCTCCCTCCCGCAAGTGCTGCTGAAGGCGAAGGTCCTACGGAGGGCTCCCCAGAGACGGTCACTCCGGAGCCCCCTTCTTCCGCTGCAGTCTCCCCGGGTACAGAGGAACCTGTCGGTGACACCAAGAAAAAAAGTAATTTTCGGAGCACTTTCACCCTGGGCAGAGGCGGGAGGTTTAGATTGTGTTCGACTAGGGATGGCAGCTAATAAAGAAGCAAATTTTGAGGAGGGTCGGTTCCAGACCCGGTTTTTGACAAGTCAGGGGAGAGGAAGTGTACTTTTCGTCTTTTAGGACGTTTGAGTTGACTGCGTCTCAAGGTGCTCGGTGCTTGGGTGCCGCAGCGTTTATTACGCTGTACTCGCATCTTTGAGTTGGCCGGAGTGCGAGCTCTTTGAAGGTGGGAGCTCAGTGGGATCTCTGTACTTCCAGGTACTTAACGCGGGACCCAATTATTTGAATAGTGATTTTAGGTGATAGAGAAGATCGGTAGCAAATCTGAATTAGAATCCACACCTTCCCACTAGGTTGCTGTTTTCTGTACCATTTGCGTGTGAATTCACACCTTGGACCAAAAAAAACGGGTTCTACCCAGAATGAAGAATGCTAAGGGGAAACCGAAGGCATAGACATCGCCTTTTTTTTTTTAAACGCTGTTTTGGAACCTTTGTAAGTGAATCATTTCTCTGCTTGAACTAGCTGTCTTCAGCCCTTTATTGCTGAAGAATTAGTTCACTATTGTGAAATATAGAAGTTACTAAGTGGCGCACTCTATGTAGAGTTACCTATGAGAAAAGCAGGAAATGAACGTCTGTTGGAAGAGATTGACCCTGGGCCTCAGACAGGTTTTCTCAGTCCAGAGTCTTAAAGTGTAGGTATGGCATGTTCTCAGAGATCTCGGGGCCTTTCACCCAACTTCACTTTCTGCTGCTTTGGAGGATAATTGTCTTTCCCAGCACTGTCCTCCTTTTAAATCAGACTGCATCTACATTTGAGGGATGTCTGTTCAGTCACTTCCACGTGATACACCAGTAGAGAAACAAAAACCTACGATTATTTCTGTAAGTAACTACTAGTATCCGTCTTCAGATGAATCCCATGAGTTTTACAGATTTTTGTTCCCTCTTTTCCTTCAGGTTTACTGTAAGCAGGAACAGACTTTCAAAGGGTTTGTTTTAATATCTAGCAGTCTCAGTCAACAGCTTAGGACATACTTGACCCTGAAGATTGCTGTGTAAAACAGTGACTATAAAGTAATGGCCCTTAACCCAGATATGGCCTGAGGTGTTACTATGGCATGTTTTCTTTGGTCTGCACAATTTATGTTTTTAAACCATCACTTAAAAATCAAAATTTCATTTTCTGACTTCTGTGAGCGTTTGAGTTAGCCTTTCTGGTATAAAGCTTACTTTCTGGCTTTTGAATTTCTATCCTGAATTTGTCTTCCTTTTTTGAGAACCTCTTCTGATGAAAAAAGCTTAAATATTTCATATGCTCCACGTTTGATTTAATCTACAGGTTACTGAGGCAGACCGAGGTTGTTGGCCCTGAAAGCACTTTTGGATTATCTGGGAGAGCTTTTGAATATACCAATGCCAAGGCCCTACTTTCAGAAGATTCTGATTTAATTGATGTAGATACCTGTATTCTTGTAAATGTTCCCCCAGTTAAGTCTAATGTGTAGCTAGGGTGAGAACTACCAGCAAAGCACCTTTAGAATTGTTTTTGAAAGTACAGCTATAATTATAAATAATTAAAATAAATATTTTTACTTCTCCAGCATCTTGCCCCCCTGCCCCTTCTTCAGAATTACAACTCTATTTTCTTCTCCACTTTCTTGGAATGCCCAATTGCAGTTGACTGATAGCCCCAGGGGTTTGAGGGAGCAGGAAAGGGGAGGTATGGAAGGTGAGTTAACCAGAATCCCCTTAGGTATCTCTCAATTCATCTCTTTCCCTTAGGTTACTTAGGGTGGAATTACTAAATGGAAGAAGGAAGATAAACTGTGCATTATGTTTTAGATGCCTTCAATCCATGGGTAAACTTGAGTATGATCTCAGTAACCTCATTGGGTCCCAATTTTTAAAACAAAAGAATGGGACAAAAGGATGTAATAGAATAGAGTTGACTTGAGGGGGCAGCAGAGCATTATTTTGCTTTCAGTGTTGCTTTTGATGGCGGAAACTTTTTTTTTTTAATTAAGCAAAGTAACTTCAGGAGATAGATTCATAGTC